TACATTTTCATGCTTATAACATCATTTTTCCTTAAGTCCTTGAGAATCTATAGCATTAACAAGCTTAACAAATCCAACTGTTTAAGACGTGAGTCTTAGAATCATTAATTTCCAGGCTTTCACTAGTAAACAAATAAAATCTTCATTATTTTATTTCCTTTGCATTATTTTTAAAGATTTTATTTATTTATTCATGAGACACTCAGAGAGAGAGAGGCAGAGACACAGGCAGAGGGAGAAGTAGGCTCCATGCAGGGAGCCCGATGTAGGACTCGGTCCCGGGTTTCCAGGGTCAGGCCCTGGGCTGAAGGCAGTGCTAAACCGCTGAGCCATCCCGACTGCCCTCCTTAGCATTTTTAATAGACATTCTTGACAATTTATTTGATTGGGAAAAAAAATGAGAATATCCAAAAATAATGCTGTACTTTAGTGTCGTAACAAGATTTAGTCATTTTGAAAAGAAAAATATTATTCATCTACTTTTAAGGGTAATACAACTAAACAGATATAAATGGTTCCATTCCTTTTTTGTCTCAGAAGTAAAATATTCATGTACACATTCCATTTTTCTAGAATTCTCCAAGAAAAATAAACAGAATGGTATAGGGTTTATAATTTTAGTCAAGAATTAGCAAAATCAGGTCCTGGTCTCAGTTTTGTAGCTGTCTGACTTTGGGAATGTCATTTGATTTCTTAGATCCTTAGCTCCTAAAAAAGATAAAATATCAACACAGAAATCTCTACGTTCCTTTCTCAAGATCATGCTATGGTTTGAGCACTCTGATAGACTCTATCAGTATGATCCCAAAGAGACTCTATGTAGTCCCACATGAAAATGGGAGCAGGAATCAGGGTAGAAGGAAGGAGAGGAATCCTGATCATTCCCCATGATGTGATATCAGAAAATAATATGTAAAATGCAAAAAGTGGCAATGACTTTCATTGTTTTGAAACTTCAAGTAATCCAACATAAGCTCTTCTCCATAAATTTACAGTTCAGTTGGAGAGAAGAGAGCGGGGAAGTTTTGCAGATCAAGTGCCAAGAGGGCTGAAATTGCCTAAAGTAATATTACTGGTAATCAGTGAGGGAGTACATGAAACCACTTCTTCTGTATTATCAATCAAAACACTTCTTATGAGAAAACATGCCAGTTCATAGCTCATCATAAGTGTTGAAATTTCCATGTACAAGTCTGTATTAGGCCCTGGACCACTTAATGAGATGGTTTCCTGACTCTGGACACTGATGCTTTATTAATTGACATTTTGGCTTCTCTGAATTGGAAGAGGGAAGAGCATTAAACCAGAATTCCTTTGCAGCAATTATATACTGACTTCTTAAATACTTGCTTGCTTCTTATCTGTGGTAACTTACTCAATCCCCACTCAAAGTCCCCTCCTGCCTAGCAATTTGCAGTTAGACATGACAAATTTCTAGCCTAAAGATATCAGTGAAAGACTTGACTGTGGGGTCTAGGGGAAACTGGCTTTTCTACAAAACAGGAATCAGCCAATCTTTTTGCTTCCTACCACTGTGATTTTCACCCTTCTTCAGGCCTGATAAGTGAAGATATGGCTGGAGGTGGAGTAGCCATATTGCAACCATGAGGCAATAAGCAAGAAGATGCTAAGGACTACAGAGTGAAACAATAGTTTTTCATCATTGAGTATGATGTTAGTTGTGGGTTTTTTCATATATGGCCTATATTATGCTCAGGTATGTTCCCTCTAACTCTACTTTGTTGAAGGTGTTTATCATGAGTAGAGGTGTACTTTGTCAAATGCTTTTTCTGCATCCATTAGGATGATCATGTGTTTTTTTTTTTTAAGATCTTATTTATTTATTCATGATAGTTACACAGAGAGAAAGAGAGAGGCAGAGACACAGGCAGAAGGAGAAGCAGGCCCCCTGCCGGGAGCCCAAAGCGGGCCTCCATCCCAGGTCTCCAGGACCGCACCCCGGGCCAAAGGCAGGTGCCAAACCACTGCACCACCCAGGAATCCCCGATCATGTGGTTTTTATCCTTTCTTTTGTTGATGTGATATATTATGTTGATTGATTTGCAAATATTGAGCCACCTATGTAACCCTGGAAAAATTTCACTTGATCATGGAGAATGTTTTTTAATGTATTGTTGGATTCAGTTTGCTAATATTTTGTTGAGGATTTTTGCATCTATGTTCATCAGAGATATTGGCCTTTAATTTTCTTCTTTTGCAGTGTCCTTGTCTGGTTTTGGAAACAGGGTAAAGCTGACCTCGTAGGATGAATTTGGAAGCTTTCCTTCCCCTTCTATTTTCTGGAATAGTTTGAGAACAGGAATTAACTCTTTTTAAAATATTAGGTAGACTTCATCTTTGAAGCCATCTGGTCCCAGACTTTGTTTATTGGGAGTTTTTAATTACTGATTCCATTTCATTGCTCATAATCAATCCATTCAAATTTTCTTTTTTATTATTTATGATTCAGTTTTGGAAGGTTCTATGTGTCTAGGAATTTATCCACTTCTTCTAGGTTGTCCAACTTGTTGACATATAATTTTTCACAATATTCTCTTATAATCCTTTGTTTTTCTGTGATGTTAGTCATTACATCTCTTTCATTTCTGATTTTGTTTATTTGAGTCCTCTCTCTTTTTTTTCTTGTCTAGTCTGGTGAAAGATTTATCAATTTTGTTTATCCATTCAAAGAACCAGCTCCTGGTTTCATGATCTTTTTTATTGTTGTTAAGGTTTTTTTAGTCTAAATTTCATTTATTCCTGCTCTAATCTTTATTATTTCCTTTCCTCCATATGACAATGGTACTATATACAGAAGACCCAAAAGAGTCTACCTAAAAATTACCAGATCAAGTAAATGAATTCAGTGAAGTCACAAGATACAAGATTAATATATGGAAATCTGTTGCATTTCTATACACGATGAAATAACAGAAAGAAAAATTATAAAAATAATCTTATTTATAATTGCATCAGAAAGAGTAAAATGCCTAGGAATAAACCAAGGAGGTAGAAGACTTGTACTCCAAAAACCATAAAACCCTGATGAAAGAAAATGGCAATGATACAAACAAATAGATATTCCATGCTCATGGATTAGAAGAACAAATATTCTTAAAATGTCCATACTACCTAAAACAATCTACATATTTAAAGCAATCACTGTCAGAATACCAACAACATTTTTCAGAGCACTAGAACAAATAATCCTAAAAGTCGTATGGAACCATGAAAGACACCAAATAGCCAACGCAAAACTGGAAGTATCACGATCCTAGATTTCAAGATATACTATATAGCTATAGCATGCAAAATAATATATATATGTATGTGTATATATATATATATACACACACACACACACACACAATGGAAAAAGACAGTCTCTTCAACAAATGGTGTTGGGAAAACTGGACAGCAACATCAAAATAATAAACCTGGACCACTCTCTTACACTGTACACAGAAATAAACACAAAATAGATTATTAAAGACCTAAATTTGAGGTCTGAAACTCCTATAAGAAAACACAGGCAGTAAGTTCTTTGACCTCAGACTTAGAAGCCCTTTTCTGGATGTCTCCTCAGACAACGGAAGCAAAGAAGATATGACTGACAATTTGTAAAGAGGAAATTATGGGTGAAAATACCCTTATTCTAACCCCATGATATAGATAAAATGCAAGATTAAATACAGACACACAGATATCTTGTTCCCAAATACAATTTGACCTTAATTCTGTACATTTAGTGGGGTGTATTTAATACATGGAATTTTATAATGTGAAGCTGCCATCAATCAGAATAAAATCATATTTTATAGCTCTTCCACCACTTACCAGGTGATCTCACAAAGTGGAAGGTACTTATCTACCAAAATAGAAGAGAATATAACTAGTAATTGGAATTATGGCTTATTTTCATTGATCAGTTCAATGACTTGTAAACTGTAACTACCCAATTCTTTTTTGAATTCACAATCTAAGGAAAAAAAGATAATATAAAAATTTTAACTATCTGAAAGTTGCAATAAGACAAGCCCATTTACTGGGATCCCTGGGTGGCTCAGCAGTTTAGCGCCTGCCTTTGGCTCAGGTCGTGACCTACTTCTCCCTCTGGCTGTGTCTCTGCCTCTCTCTCTCTCTGTGTCTCTCATGAAAAAAATAAATAAAAAAAATTTTTTTTGAAAAAAGACAAGCCTATTTACATCCTAGAGTGAAGGCATAATATTATGATTACAAGATTAGGGATTAAAGATTAAAAAGTAAGTGCCGCAGGGATCCCTGGGTGGCTCAGTGGTTTAGCATCTGCCTTCAGCTCAGGGCGTGATCCTAGAGTCCCAGGATCAAGTCCCACATCAGGTTCCCTGCATGGAGCCTGCTTCTCCCTCTGCCTGTGTTTTTGCCTCTCTCTCTCTCTCTCTCTCTCTCTCTGTGTGTGTGTGTGTGTGTGTCTCATGAATAAATAAATAAATAAAATATTTTTTTAAAAAAAGTAAGTGCCGGAGTATCTAAAATCTATTCCACCTTAAATGACAATGTATGCTTGATGGAAGAATGTTTTCCTTTCCTTCTTATTTTCTACAGCTTTACTTTCTCCACTTTTGATTGTTAGATTCATCTTATAACCATCCAAAAGGATGACCTCTTAAAAAATGAGTTGAATCCAAAGCTAGTTGTAAAAAGAACATATTTCTTTGAAATAGGATTTCCATCATTCATGTAAGGTTTATAAAACCACTGGTTTTTTTTAGATTTTATTTATTTATTTGAGAGAGAGAAAGAGAGAGAGCACAAGCTAGGGTAGGGGTAGAGGAAAGAGGAGAAGCAGGCTCCCCCACTGAGCAGGGAGCCTGGTGCAGGGCTCCATCTCCAAACCCTGAGATCATGACTTGAGCTGAAGGCAGACGCTTTACCAGCTGAGTCACCCAGGTGCCCCTAAAACCACTCTTTACGTAGACATTGTGAAAATGACTAGTTACAATACGTGAATTCATACAAACCTGTGAGACTGCTCTTTCAGGTAACAGTGAAATGTCACATTCAGGAATCTCGCCTAGAAGAGAGGCTTTAGACAGACTGTATTCAGGAGGAATGGGTTCTTCTTTAGCAGCTACTTTTACCTTGCTTCTCCATTTTCGCAGTTGAAGTTCATGTTTTAACATCTGCCATGACAATAATTGACAAATTCCATGTAATTGTTGTAAAGGTTAAAATGAGATGATATATATAAAGCGCAGTACCTGACACCATAATAGCATCAATTAAACATTATTTATTATCATCACCACTATCTTTGTCCATAGCATGTTTAATATTCTCTAGACACCAGAGCATTAGAGATCATTTCCATTAGTTGTCAGATATCATTGGCATAGGCAGCAACCTCAAAAATGTGGTCCAGCGTCCTCTTTCAGGTGAGGAAGCTGAAACCCACAGAGTCAAGGTTTTGGTAATGACAGAACTGATATTTGGGGCATGGAAAGGAGGTGGTTGGCCCAGAGACCAAAAAAAAAAAAAAAAAAGAGAGAGAGAGAGAGAAAGAGTCAGAGGAAAGCACTTGGGGACTTTCCTGATTTATTGTTACAAGAAGTCCCCATTTCAACTTTCAGTACATTCCTTAAAACCACATAATCAAGAAAAAGCCATAAGAGTAAGTAAGTGTTACATTTTGATTGGTGTGTGTGTATATATATGTATATATACATATAATTTTATATCCATATGTGTGCCTAAGGAAGAGCACACATTAAAGAACTAGCACACAGAAGTGTTCCGTGCTTCTCTTCCCAGAACATACCTGCCATCCTCACTTTACCCACTTAAGTGAGTGACTGTAAGGTGAAGAAATTGCATAGCTAGAAGAAAATATTTTCTCTAAACACCCAATTAATAATATACATCAATATTAAGAATAATATGGTATCATATATAATATAGTGTTTTATAATATATTAATATGTAACACCTACTGCATGCAAAACATTATGCTCTGTGTATAGTGATGATTAAAAGAACAATATTGCTTCAGGGATGTTCAGTCCAAGAGGGGTGGAAAAGGGGCAGACTAGTCATGCACACTTATTTCACCATTAGACAATCATTGATTAGGCATGGAGGGAACCAGGGTCAAAACACTAGCTTAGTACACAGTGTTGAAAAACGCTGAACAGGGGTGCCTGGGTGGTTCATTCAGTCAAGCGTCTGACTCTTGATTTTGGCTCAGGCCACCATCTCAGGGTCGTGAGATCAAGCCCTGCATCAGGCTCCCTGTTCAGTGGGGAGTCTGCTTGAGATTCTCTCTTGCTCTCCTTCTGCCCATTTCCACATACCTCCCTCCCCACATGCATGCACTCTCTCTCTTTCAAATAAATAAATTAATATTTTTAAAAAAGAAAAAAAAGATAAAACACTGAACAAGCAGACTTAAACAGTGGTACATAAAGTACAAGTGTTAAACTGGCAACATTTGAAATGTACTCCACCAAAGGCAAATGCTAGAGGACATCCCATAAGAACACCAATTCAATAGATGAAAAACTTCCAGAGAGGGAGAATTATGCTTTATGCATCTCAGTGTCCTCTGCAGACTCTAGCACTGTTCCAAACATAAATATTTCCAATCTCTCTTTTCTTTAACCCTCTTGGTATGTATACAGTATCATCAATCTCAACATCTGAACCAGTGAGGGGTGGGAGGCATTGACCCTGCCCTCCATGGAGGAACTCCAAAACAGGGAGTTTAATTTCTTATTTTTCTCTTTCTTATTTATACCAACTTTGGTGTGGTTTTTTTTTTTTTTGTAATATTTTACTTTATTTACTCATGAGAGATACAGAGCGAGAGAGAAGATACAGGCAGAGGGAGAAGCAGGCTCCATACAGGGAACCTGACGTGGGACTCGATCCCGGGTCTCCAGGATCACACCCTGGGCTGCAGGCAGCGCTAAACCGCTGAGCCACCGGAGCTGCCCAAACTTTGCATCTCAATACTATTGATAAAACATTGCCTCTGAAGTAATACAACTAAAAAAATTCCATTTTTCTATGTCTGATCCTAATAGTGTGAATATTTAAAACAACATTAAATAATAATGTACTAATAAGTTAAGCAAACTAGAGATATTTTTAAGTTTGGAGAAATTTGCTTGGGTCCTCTGTTTTAATTGCTTTAATTCCTAGGGGGTGTCTCAGTTAAGAATAATCCTTTAAGTTTAGCAATTTAGTAATTTTTAAAATAATTTGATATTAAAATCATAATTAATTCATTGAATGTTAAGAATAATAATTTAATCTTATCTAGAAAAGAAAAAATTTATTCAGTCTTTATCATATCATATAGTTTCTCTTCAATTTTATTTTTCTCTTCAATTTTAGACATCTATATAACACTTGCTTAAACAAAATTCTTAGTTTTTAAAAATAATTTTAAACAAAATGTTGAAATGATTTTTTCCTCAGTGTTCATAGTTGAAATGAAACAACAGAATTTATTAGAAAATATTTTTGGTAGATGAAGTAAAATTTAAATTATTAAATTAAAAGAGTAAAGACCCCATCAAAAGTATATAATATTGGGACACTTGGGTGGTTCAGTCAGTTAAGCGTCTGACTTTGGCTCAGGTCATCATCCCAGAGTCCTGGGATCAAACCCTGCATCCAGCTCCTCACTCAGCAGTAAGGCTACTTGTCTCTCTCTCTCTCTCTCAAATAAATAAATATTTTTTAAAAGTACATAATATTCAGGATTTTAGTACTTTCCATGCATACCATTATTATCCGAAGCAACATCAGTATAACAGCAAAATTCAGTTTCTAAAAAAGATTAAGTTTCCAAGATAACATACCAGCTCATCTTCTCTCTTTTTATACTCATATCTTGCTTTATCTCTCCATTTAGTCAGGGTAATTATTAGCTTGTAATGGTGGCACATCTTTCGTATTCGCAATAGTGCTTCTAAAGAAGATTTATTAGATTATTGCATATATTTAAAGATGTTTCCAAAAAAAAACAAAGTGTATAATATTCTATCATGTTAATAATATAAACCAATATTATATTTGACAATTCTTGCTTGATTTTCATTACATCTAAAATTAATTACTTTTGACAGCAGATTTTTACTCCTGAAACTTTATTAACCTGTAAACATTACCTTTGCCCTTAGAAATTAAGATGTAGGTGTATCTGTGTGGCTCAGGTGGTTAAGCATCTGCCTTTGGCTCAGATCATGATCTTGCGGTGTTGAGATTGAGCCCTGAGTCGGGCTCCCTGCTTGAGGGGGTGTGCTTCTCCCTCTCCCTCTGCCCTTCCCCCCTGCTCATGCTCTTTTCGCTATCTCATTCTCTTTCAAATAAATAAATAGAACCTTTTAAAAAATTTTAAGATATAATAGATGTAATAACACATCAAGACATATATGATATATAATTTCTTTTTCTTTTTTAATCAACTCTGTTTTTTATAAAACCAGAACTTCCAAACTTATTCATAGAAATACAGTTATCAGGTGGTATTCTGATTTAGTTGAATGCCCTATGATTAAATAAACTGCTCCATTTTGTGTTTTAACCAAGGATCTCAAAGCTCAAACATATGAGCCAGGCCAGAAAGGAGGATGACTAAGGGCAGGCCCCAGGGACACCACTTAAGAAGGCCGTGGCTTCTAAGCTGCAGCCAATTGTTTCTTCTCAGAATTAGAGGCCCATCAATCTTATGCTAAAACCTTCAGAGGGCACCTGGGTGGCTCAATCAGTTAAATCTCCGACTCTTCATTTCAGCTCAGGTTGTAATCTCAGGGTCATGAGATTGAGTCCCATCCTCTGCCCTGTGCTGGGCATGGAGTCTGCTTAAGATTCTCTCTCTCCCTCTTCCTAAGCCACTTCTCCCCACCCCACCCCCCGCCATGCTCCCATGTGTGCTTGCTCTCTCTCTTCTCCTCTCTAAAAAATAAAACAAAACAAAACCAAAACCTTCAGAGGGCTCACTGTAACTGAGATATCAAGAGGAAATGATTCTCTGGTTTGCAGCAGCCATAAACCAGTATTTGGTGAAGTGGCTGAATTCTGAGCAAAAGGCTGGAGTTCCCGATTCCTGTTCCAAAGATCATGTACATGCATTGTCTATTCATTACAGTTATCAAGGGTATAAGGAAAAGAAAATTTGTTTTCTTTGTTTCCTCGTGTATCCATTAAATGAAACATCTGTAAAGAATGGAAAACTCTCTATAAGAAATAGTCCATTTCGGTACCTGTCTGTGATATACCAGCTCTCTGTGAGTAAAAATGATGATAGTAGATCCCTATCTATATTTTTATTTGTACATACATCACACAAATACATATAGGATTTCATTTTAAACATGCCTGTTTTCTATTACAATAAAACCCTTTGAGGGCAGCCTGGGTGGCTCGGCGGTTTAGCAGCCCCTTCAGCCCAGGGCCTGATCCTGGAGTCCCAGGATCGAGTCCCACGTCCGGCTCCCTGCATGGAGCCTGCTTCTCCCTCTGCCTTTGTCTCTGCCTCTCTCTCCGTGTCTCTCATGAATGAATAAATAATAAAATAAAATCTTTTTTTAAAAAAACCCTTTGAGACAAATTTCATTAAATATTTTAAATTAGTGGTTTTATATTTCATGACAGTTCTCTAGACATCATAACAAATTCTCTAGTACAAACTGCTTAATTGTTAAATGTGTTGATTCTTTGAATACCTGAATACAAAGACCAACTGCTAGTATGTAAGGATTTACCTGTAAGTAGTTTTTTTTGACCTGCTGCATAAGAGTGCCAAAGACGAAATACATATTTTTGAAGTCTGAAATTGTCATATTCTATTGCTTTTTCCATTTTTTCAGCTAGAATATCCTCTTCATTTATAAGAGGTATTGCTATGTCTCTCCAAATGCTATAGGCAGAAAGTACAGAAAAATAGTATTTTGATATTATGGCAGTACATTACTAATAAATGGCGAGGGAGAAGGAGTAATAATACCTCCTTTGTCTCCCCTAAAACCACAGTATAGAAACAAATTGTTCAATTATTGTTATTGTTTTGTTTCCAGCTAGTCCTTGCATTTTCCTTCCTTCTGCTACATTTCTAAAACCCAGAAAAGATCTGAAATTCAGACGTTTTTGTTGTAACCTATTTAGAGGCAAAACTAGACCTGACCTAAAGTAATTTTGCATTGGGGTACCTCAGCGGCTCAGTTGGTTGAGCATCCGAATTTGGATTTCAGCTCAAGTTATGATCTTGCAGTCCTGGGATCCAGGCCTGTATCAGGCTCCACACTCACACAGATTTGACTTGAGATTCTCTCTCTCTCTCTGTCCGCCCTCACCCTCCACCCCCCACTCCCACTTTCTGTCTCTAAAATAAATAAATCAATCTTTAAAATAAATAAATAAAAATTTATTTTTTAAAATTTTTTTAAATAAAACTTTAAAAACTAATTTTGCATCAAAATCTTTCCTGGATTTGACACATAGCTGTTCATAGTCTTTTTTCCACTTCATTTCATATACATTTCATTTTATATACATTTACATAATACATAGAGTAGAAATACTAATATATTTGAACATGTTTGGTTCCAACATGCTGCCCAAACACCACTGAAGATGTTATATAATATTTAGAATATGCAGGAGTTATCTTTGTAAAAAATTTTAAGAAAATGAATCTAAATTTCAAAACATATCTCCAAGGATTTCAGATGAAGATATTGTAAACCTATCCTTTCAATTTTGAAGTTTTATTTTTTTTAAAGCAATGCCTTGAAGAAGTAAAGAACATATTTTAATTAAATAAAAGCCAAATAAAAAATACAAGAAATATACAATGCAAAATGGTGGAGACATGATTAAATAGATAAAATCAGAACAACTGGCCAAAAATGAGTTCTTCATGTGGAAAATATTAATAATAAAAACACAAATAAATAGTATGTAAAAATCATTTTCTTACCAAAAGTGAGTCTTTACTAAATGTCCAGTATAAAAAGTACATGCTTTTATCATCAGTTCTGGAGTCATCTAAAGTAAACAAATAAATGAAATAGCAAACATTAGAAATAAATGGAATGCAAAGGCTAACCCCAGAAGATACACAGGAAAATGTGAGCAATGGTTGCACTGGGCAGTAGGGAGACAGGAACAGACTGGAAGAACCACATACCATTTATATATTTTGTAATTTTGTTGTATATGTCTCTTACCTTTTTTTTTTCTTTTTTTGAGATTTCATCTATTTATTTGACAGAGAGAGAGAGAGAGAGAGCACAAGCAGGGGGAGCAGCAGGCAGAGGGAGAGGGAGAAGCAGGCTCCCTGCTGAGCAGAGAGCTGGATGTGGGGCTCCATCCCAGCACCCTGGGGTCATGACCCAAGCTGAAGGCAGACACCCAACTAACTGAGGTACCCAGGCACACCTGTTATCTATTTTTCAGAAGTTAAGATTGCAGCTTAAAATTTTTTCATTATATTGTATTTACTTTAAAGCATTTTAAGTAAGTTCTATGGTATTATTATTGTCAGCTGTATTGATAGTAGTATAGAGTTTGTGGATCTGCTGGTCATTATTAAACTGAATGATTTCCTTCTGGAGAGTATAAAGTTAAATATTCTTTTCTTTTTTTTAAGATTTTATTTATTTATTCATGAAAGACACAGAGAGAGAGAGGCAGAGACCCAGGCAGAGGAAGAAGCAGGCTCCATGTAGGGAGCCCAACGTGGGACTCAATCCCGGGTCTCCAGGATCACGCCCCGGGCTAAAGGTGGCGCTAAACTGCTGGGCCACTAAGGCTGCCCAAATTTTCTTTTCAAAAAAAAAGAAAAGAAAAGAAAGAAAAAAGAAAGGTGTACAGGAAGGCATCACCAAACAGGAATGGGAAAGCCACATAAATTAAAATTTGGGGCAACTATTCACAATAACATACATTAACAGATGGGAACAGCTGACTGAGGGTTGCTGAAATCATCTGTACCTTCTGTACATTCTTTAATGAGTGAAGATAATATTATATTAACACATTAGTTATATGTTCATGGCTACTGTGAAAGGCTAATAGTGTTATTTTTTTCCTTATGTTATCACCACCATTTGCCATATAAATAAACGTGTGGCCACCTCTGTTTGGTTCAAATCTACACCAACTGCCCAGAATTCTGAATTCGGAGACTAATGTTTTTCTCCTTTGCTCATTGTTGTAAATGCTTTGTTAAGTTTGTCGATACAACATATGTGTTAATCATGGATTTAATTTAGACACACCACAAAGGCCTGCAGGCCCCCTGATCCTCTGCATGATGTTCAATGACATTTGGAAATCCTCAGTTTCATGGTGATGATGTGCAAATTATGCTCATGGTGCGGGGGAACATAAATCATCGAAGTCATTTTTTACTAAATTCTGATTTTCATAAGGGAAGGGAATCTAGATAAATAAAGTAAGAGTACTGGGAATATCACAGCAGAGTGGATAAACCCGGAAAAGGAAAGAAGCGGCAGAAATAAAGACAAATTGCATCTACAATACAGTTTTTCTGCTCTGCCATTAGTCCCTAAATTTCCTACAATTAGACTTTACCTGGAAAGTACTGTATAAACATCTACAATAAATGGCATAGTTCATTAAAAAAATAAACATTTACATGATCAAATAAATGAAAACAAGAATTGTAATTCAGCCAGTAACTCTTGAACTCAAGTTTTCTAATAATCAACTCTTTAAATCAGCATGAAAATGTTCTTTCCATTCTGTTCTTGAAAGAATTTGAAGCCCTCATTAATCCACCATCTATATGCTGGAAGAGTTTGTTATTCTAATATTCCTTTTTTTAAGAGTTCCTTTCTCTAAATCCTTTTTATTTTTTTAAAGATTTTATTTATTTATTCACGAGAGACACACAGAGAGAGGCAGAGACACAGGCAGAGAGAGAAGCAGGCTCCCCATGGGGAGCCTGATGTAGGACTTGGTCCCAGGGCCCCAGGATCATGACCCGAGACAAAAATAATGCAATCTCTCCAATTAAATTTTTATCAAGAAGCATTTTATTCCAAAGCTACTGGGAACAGAGAAGTTTTAAGTTCTTTCCATAAGGTGGTACCATTTTGGCAGGTTAACAATTGTGCAATTAGTCTTAAAGTGCAAGTTTGACTTATTTGAGGTCTTTATAAAAGAATCCCTTTAAAACAGTGTGACTGCCAGGTATGGTTTGAATAGAGCGACGAGTCCAGAGAAAGGAGTGCTATTTGGCATTTTTAGGATTTGTGGTTGAAGAAGCTCCACCTCAGTTTGACTTCAGAGCTCTCAAGGCAGCAAGAGTATCAGCGCTAAGGCTCCACTTTTAGGCCAGGGACATACTTTTAAGAGGAATTCTTGAATTCACACAGGACAGCTTTGGGAGTTCCAGACACAACTGGTTGGATTTTTTTTTTTTTTTTAAGATTTTACTTATTTACTCATGAGAGACACAGAGAGGCAGAGACATAAGCAGAGGGAGAAGCAGGCTCCCTCTGGGGAGCCTGATGTGAGGCTCGATCCTGGGACCCCGGGATCACACCTGGGCCGAAGGCAAATGCTTAACCACTGAGCCACCCAGGAGTCCCACAACTGGTTGGAATTTTAAGGGGAAACCAATCTCCTGCATTATGATGATAGATTCACTGCACTAGAGGCAGTGAAATTTGGAATATCACTATCAACACCATTCTACTTGTATCCCAGGCTGCTAAGGCCTGGGGAAATTTTGTAATAAATTAAAAACTAATGAAATAGCATTTTAAAACATAAATAACAGATTACAAATTATCTGTTCGTTAACTTACAGATACTGAATTTATGGTTCATTAGTGTCAACAATGACACTAATTGTAGTCATAGGGAATAATTGGTCCCCGTTAATAATGTAATTTTGTTCAATACTATCCATTTATTACATCTGAGGAAATTGATACATTTAAATAATGCCAATAGAAAAAAAAGTTTTACTTCTATAATATTAGAAGTACCTAGTGTAATGTTAGGAATCTGGTAAGAACCAAACAAAAAAAAAATATGTAAATCCTTACATTCATACTATCATTTTTGGTTTTTAGTATATTATAACACAATTTTTCTTCTGGTAGGCAGTTCCTTTTATGCTCAGTTAATCCTTGAATGAAGAGATTATATATATATTTTTTGAGATTATATATTAAATTATTTTAACATCTCTCATCATATTTTAAAGTGCTGTGTCTTTACTTCATTCATGAGCTTCATTAATATCCCACATAGCATAATTCTAGAATAATGCTAGCAAGATAGTATGGGATTTACTACAGATTAAATGTTTATGTGCCCTAAAATTCAGATATTGAAACCTAATCTCCAGTGTAATAGTATTTGGAGGTGAGGACTTCTGGAGATGATTAGCTCATGAGGGTGGAACCCTTAGGAATGGCATTAGCGCCTTTATAAAAGAGACTCCAGGGAGTTCTCATCCCTCCTGCCATCTGACATAACAGCCTGAGATGGCAGTTTATGAATAAGGAACCAGGCTCTCACCAGACAAATCTGCCAGCACCTGGATCTTGGACCTCCTAGCCTCCAGAACTCTGAGAAACAGACTTCTATTGTTTGTAACTGCCACCCAGCCTGTGGTATTTTGTTATAGCATCCTGAACAGACTGAGACAGGCCTAATAAATATGTGTTGAATACATTGCCTCAAATCCTTCCCAACTCTAATTTTTAAAACTTTTCATAGGCTGGAAAAATTAAAAGTAATACAGCTGCCTGGGTAGCTCAGTGGTTGAGCATCTACCTTTGGCCCGGGGTCCCAGGATCGAGTCCCACATTGGGCTCCCTGCATGGAGCCTGGTTCTCTCTCTGCCTGTGTCTCTGCCTCTCATGAATAAATAAATTAAAAAATAAATAAATAAAAAAGTTAAAAGTAATAACAAAAATACTAAGAAGAAACAATGTCTTTAATGCAGAAGTGAGCAGTGTCTATAATAGCACCACGATGTGGTACAAAGTGTTGGATTTCCCATGATAAGTGATTTTCTTCTTTTTTTCTATCTTCTGCAAATTATTGAAAGAGTCTTGAATGCCTAAGGGGCTCTTGGACCTAGAGATAAACATTAACTGCTATTTTTATTTTACAGCTCTATTTAATGAACACATGTTTAAATGAAAACAACTTTGAAAAATCAATTTCCTTAAACATGTAAATGTTTATTACAAATTTTAAGTAAATTCCCTGAAACTATTTAATTAAAATTTAAAATTTACGAAAATGTTTAGAACACTCAAATGCCATATGTAGTGGGCAAGCATACAAAAATGCCCTATCATCAGTTATTACTATTTACTTTACACTAAAATTTATAATGTAAATAATGTGAATCCAGTTCATATCTTCATTATTTCTCACCTTATTTCTATTCCTCCCAGGTTACTGTAATACTCAGTTTGATTCCTTTTCAGAAAAGAGTAATCTACCAAATTTCAAAAGAAAAAGGATATTTTTGCAAATCAGCCAGGATACAGAATATGGTTATTGACCAATGGATTCTTGTTTGGGGAAATCGATCTGCCTGCCTCTCTCAAATGATTAAACCCTAGCCACTGGGGTCATATGGTTAAGTTTCCTTTTCAAAGTTTTTTTTTTTTTTTTTTAATTTTATCTATTCATGAGAGACACACAGAGAGAGGCAGAGACACAGGCAGAAGGAGGAGCAGGCTCCATGCAGGGAGCCCAACGTGGGACTCGAATCCAGGACCCCAGGATCACGACCTGAGCCAAAGGCAATGCTCTACCGCTGAGCCATGCAGTGCCCCTCCTCTTCATAGTTAAACTTTGTTACACCAGCAAGACTTTTAAGTGGATACCTTTCATTTATAATTTATGGTTTTGTTACACAGCTCTCCCTACAATAACATTGTTTTAAAAGGGAGCACTCTAGTACTAAGTGAGAAAAGCAAGAAGCAGAAGGCTACACATAGTCTACTACTTCAATGTAAGAAGTTGAAGGGGCAGAGAATACAGTGTATTTGCTCATATTTTTCAAAGATAAACAATGGATGGGACATCTGGGTGGCTCAGCGGTTGAGCGCCTGTCTTTGGCTCAGGTTGTGATCCTGGGGTCCTGAGATCAAGTTCTGCATCAGGCTCCCCACAGGGAGCCTGCTTCTCCCTCCGCCTATGTCTCTGCCTCTCTCTGTGTCTCTCATGAATAAATAAATAAAATATTTTTTAAAAAAGAAACAATGGAAAAATTAAAGAGATAAACTAAAAACTACTAAAACTGGATACTTAAGGGATGGGATAGAGAGGAAAGGAAGGTAGAAATAGAAGCAATACTTCTCTGAACACTCATTTTATTGCTTTGCTTCTGCTGTCATGTAATATTATACACACAAAAGCAAAGAGAAAAAAGGATGACCATCGGCACAAAGAAAGAATTACTTTGGGTAATTACTTTTTTTGTTACTTTGGGTAACAAAAAAAGTATTATTCTGACTGAAAATATTTGGTAGGATATATACATGTTCAGGACAAAGAAAATTGTATAATTTTTTGACTTGCATACCTCTCTTAAACTGTATTCAGTGATTTTTTGTTTTTAAAGATTTTATCTATTTTGAAAGAGAAAGTACAAGTGGGGGGAAGAGGCAGAAGAAGACAGAGAAGCAGACTCCCTAATGAGCAAGGAGTCCATGCGGGGCTCAATCCCAGGACCTTTGGATCATGACCTGAGCTGAAGGCAGACCTTAACTGACTGAGCCACCCAGGTGCCCCTGCATTCAGTGGTTTTATTGTTAGTGGTCCTATAGTACTGTTATTCCAAAACTGTTACATGTGTATTATAAGATGAAATTAATAAGCAATGATATTACTGTCTATAGGGATCAAGATTCATAAAAACTGGGTTGAGGAAAAAAAAGTGGGTTGAGGAGACTACTGGGTGCCCCCCCCCATCTGATGCACTAGGAAAAACATAACACCCCCTCTGCAGTTATTCCTGTCACCAAGAGGGAAAAAAAAAAAAAGAGGAAAAAAAAACCTGAATATCAAGTTTGTAGATCTAACGACAAACTTGAAAGAAATACAAGAAACAGAGCAAACAAAATGATGCCAGAGGAAACAATGAGAATGTGGGACATTTTACAAGATAAATGATGTCTTCCTCAATAAAGAAGTAGAGTGGGAAATAAGACAGTATGTGAGTTACAAGCAGCATTAGATCGGACACCCAAGGGCAATGTGGACCCTGCATGGATTTCGATTTGACAGAGCCATGTGGAAGAAGGGCATTTTTGAGACAATTTGGGAAACTAAAATATGGACTAAATATAGAATATATATATATACCTATGTGATTGATGTTCAGGAATTATTGCTAATTTCATTACACAGAAAATGGCACTATGTTATGTTCTCTAAAAGTGTCATTTTTTGTTAGAGATGCACATTGATGTGTTTACTGGTAAAAGAATATAATTCCTGGGGTTTGCTTTCCAATACTTCAGAAAAAAAAATGCAAGGGGAGAATAATTAACAAGATTGGCAAAATGTTGATTATTGTTTAAGCTGATGATGGGGGATCATTATGGTGTTCTACTTGCATGTTATGTTTAAATTTTTCTAAGTTAAAAAGATTTTTAAAATGCCTTTTCTTCTTGCAATCAGTACCCATCTGGAGATTTCATTTCCTAAGCAATGAGAATCAAGTCTGTGAAGTTAGTTTCCTCCTGACAATGGTGGATTCTTTGATCTTGGAACACACAGTTAAAATGTCTATTTGCTATTATGAGAGCAGTGCCTACTTTTCTGTAACTATGTGGCTTACTCACAGTTTCCTATATTCAATCTTCTCTGTTTTCACAAACAGAAACAAATACATAGTTATAAATAGGCATATACAAGCAGTCCTTGCAGGCCAGTGTCATGACACACTGTAAAAATGACTGCAAGCTGAAACCATACAAAATAATCCTAATAATGGGAAAAATCATAATTGTTTGTGATCTCTTACAGCAATTATAGCTATATAAGAAACTGTATGAAAAAGAAAAATGGGGGGGGAAGCAAAGCTGATATTTATTTAGTATACTCTAATTGAAAATAATTGGAAACTTTAAGGATTGAAGTGCCTTATTCTTCGTAAAAAAATTTTTTTTCATTCTCCTCTGAGGATGAAGAAGAAATAAATTATATATTCAGCTTTGGCTGAGCCCTCTAACTAAGCAATCCTAGGCATCTAGAGATTTACCTTTCATGAAGTCACATCTAGTGTGTTTTTCCTACCTTATAATATGAAGCGGGCATCTTTTCTATACCTTGGTGAGTTATCAAACTCCTTTCTTTTTTCTTTTTCTCTTTTTTTAATAAATTAATTTTTTATTGGTGTTCAATTTACCAACATACAGAATAACACCCAGTGCTCATCCCGTCAAGTGTCCCCGTCAGTGCCTGTCACCCACTCACCCCCACCCCCCACCCTCCTCCCCTTCCACCACCCCTAGTTCGTTTCCCAGAGTTAGGAGTCTTTATGTTCTGTCTCCCTTTCTGATATTGTGGGAAATATCAAACTCCTTTCTAAGTCTGGATGAGCTTCCCATAGTTTTTCCTTTGCACTTTAAACATCATGAAATATCTCTGAAAATTCCATTTCTAATAAAACTTTAGGTTTGACGTAGCTATGGTGTCTCAGAATTCTGTGCAATTCTCTAAAAAATTCTCTACAGGCTTCTAGCAGGACATCGGACAGAATTTGGTTATATTTTATAAAATCATTTTCAAAATATTGACAGTGAGGTTTACCCCTCTACCTCTCTTATCCCAGGTTTTTAATAATTTTCATATCTGATATCAGTGATGTTTAAACTTTTTTCATATGACATAGTCAAAGTGGAATGATTCTAGAGTGTGAGGTGGGGATGAGAGACCTAGAATCCCATCCCCTGGGTCTCAGCTCCTGAGGTGGCTCCCCTAACATCTCCAAGAACACAGTTTGCAGATATCTATGCTTGATAGTAGAAAAAGTTCTATGGCTGATAAAGTTAAGGCATTAAGACACCCACACACCATGACGCAGATCAACTAAGATTCAACATGTGGGTTCTTCCCAGTGCCCTGGTTCTCTGAATCATCCCAGTCTTAGCAGAAATATCCTATCCCTCTATTCCTGTCTCTCTCTTGCAGACCACCAATTAGGATCCAGTGTTACCCTCCACCGGGCCTTCCAAATGAAGCTTCAGATTGATCCTGGCTCCCAGCATCCACCTTGACCGAGGCTTTGATTGCACGTTTCAGTGCCCAACTTTACCAGTAACTCCCGAGACCTGCCTACACTGACCAAGACATCAGCCTCGGATCTAGAGGTATCACACGTGGTTCCACACACATGTAATTTGTGTTGGTATTTCTCTCCCCACATGCTTTTTGCTATTTTAGCTTCTCTCAGATACAATCTTTGTTCTAAAAGTCTCCACGTCCTGAATTACTTCCTTGCCCTCCTTACAGGATCAAAACCAGCTGTTGGAGCTGGTCACTGCTTTCATTAACAATCGGGTCTGGCTTTTAAGTTAGATTTCACTAATGTCTGGCCATATCTTTATAAGCATAATCCCGGGGGAGGAGGGGGGTGGATGGCAAAGAGAACAGAGAAGGGACAGAATACAGAAGGAAGTAGATTAGAAAGGAAAGAACATATCCTCCTTTGATGCTTTCTATAATGCTGTTTTTATCATTATAAAGATACAAGAGAGGAGGAGAAGGAGAAAGAGGAAAGGGGAAAATATAATAGAAAGATTTTATCAGAAGAGGAAGATTAAATCCCTGGTAAATGCCTCTTGGAAATTTGGGGAGGTTGCTATGAATGTGGCTCTATGCATGCACACGTGTGTGTGTGTGTGTGTGTGTGAGAGAGAGAGAGAGAGAGAGAGAGAGAGAGAAAGAGAATGAGAGAGAGAGGAATGTTCCTTCGGGCTTCTGAGTGTCCCCCATTCCAAAACAGTTTGACCTCGTATATCTCATAAAATCAAGTATCTATTTGAGAATTTCCATCAAAATTTGAGATGTGTATTTTAAAATGTTTGATTATTAATACTGACCAGCTGATCATCCAGTCCAAAAAGTTGTTCCATGTAAGTTTCAGACAACCTCCGAATTTTTGGCTTCATTGATGGATCGATGCACATATCCCTTCAATGAAATCATAAAACACAGTCAAACATTTCATTTCATAGTACTTAGTTCCATAATTAAATCAGCGATTGAAATCCGTGATTCTATGGGTGGAGTGTAAGGAAGGAGTAGGAACAGACACTCCCCCTTGGGAGAGGCATATCAAAATCACCTACAGGGCTTTTTCAAAATACCCCCTCAGGATTTTGCTTGTGCTCCCCAAGACGGTATGCCTCCCTTTCCTCATCCTCAACTTGAAATATCTGCCAAATGAGCACATTATTGATGAGAGAGGGCTACATTTCTCAAGTTAAAAACCAGCGGGGAAATTGTTCTTCTTTAAGTCTTTGGGACTTAAAAGCCTGTGGAGGGATTCTTTAACCATCTTGAGACTGGAAGCATTCATTGGCAAGACCTTTTTTGGTACTGTACAATGGGTGCGTTACCTTGAAAATAAAATATCTTCCTACCATAAAGCAAAACAGTACTTACCAAAGAAGACTTTCAAGACCATTTTCCATGATAGTAATGATCATTTTCTGTAAATACTTCAGCGGATCCTCAGGACATGTAATAAGTAGACCACATAACAGAGCCTAGGGAAAATGAAATAAACTCAGTCTTTCTGGATTTGCATGTTCTTCCTAAACAACAGATAGACTTCTCTCAGACAAGTACAAAGTCAAGGGGCACCCGGGTGGCTCAGTGGTTGAGCATCCGCCTTCGGCTCAGGTCATGATCCCAGGGTCCTGAGATTGAGTCCCATACTGCTTCTTGCTCTGCCTATGTCTCTGCCTCTCTCCCTCTGTGTCTCTCATGAATACATAAAATCTTTAAAATAAAAACAAAAAGCCAAGTACAAAGTCAAATAATGTGACACTTTTTAAAGTTAACATACCAATATGAATAATAGTGAAGGGGAATATAAGGGAAGGGAGAAGAAATGTGTGGGAGATATCAGAAAGAGACACAGAACATAAAGACTTCTAACTCTGGGAAATGAACTAGGGGTGGTGGAAGGGGAGGAGGGCGGGGGGTGGGGGTGAATGGGTGACGGGCACGGAGGGGGACACTTGACGGGATGAGCACTGGGTGTTACTCTGTATGTTGGTAAATTGAACACCAATAAAAATTAATTTATAAAAAAAAATAATAAAGTTAACATACCTTCTAGATACCCCCTCTTTTTATCCAGTGTTAATATTTTGTTATAGGCAAACTGAAATGCTGTTTACCTTTACTATTTAAATTTTTTTTAATTTTTTTTTTATTTATGATAGTCACACACAGAGAGAGAGAGAGAGAGAGAGAGAGAGGCAGAGACACAGGCAGAGGGAGAAGCAGGCTCCATGCACCGAGAGCCCGACGTGGGATTCGATCCCGGGTCTCCAGGATCGCGCCCTGGGCCAAAGGCAGGCGCCAAACCGCTGCGCCACCCAGGGATCCCTACCTTTACTATTTAAAGAAAAATCCATTGTAAATGACACAAGAGAGCTGCTGCTCAGTGTTTTATATTATGTGAGCAGTATTTTGTAGTCAAATTGAAGACATAATTGTGATACTTTTGATGAGTGGTTTCTACCCTTTTTAAGTATAAGACTGTCTTTTAAAGTCAAAAAATTCCTTGGACCCACCACTAAAGTGATTGAGAAAATCCACCTTCAAAATCTACTGTGAGTTCAAGAAATTTTTTTAAAAATGTATTTGTATTTTATCATTCACAACATCTATAGAGCATATATTTGAAAAATTATAGCACATGTTGCTCCTGGCTGGCTTAGTTGGAAGATCATGCGACTCTTGATTTTGGAGTTGTGAGTTCAAGCCTCACATTGAGTGTAGAGATTACTTAACTAACTAAAACTTAAAAGAAAAAAAAGAAAGAAAACTTGTAGCATAGTTCACAAACATGGGAAACAACTAACTTGCTGGATCTGGATGTGTAAAGGACATTTATTTATGAATGCAGAAAGCTGTGGCTATCTTATTTTCTTCTCTGAGTTTTCCCACAAGGAGAAACTTCTTGTAAAAAGTATTGGTGAGACCTACAAAATCATTGAATATTTCTTCATGTGAGACAGAGAACAGGTTAACAGCACACCTCCCACAGAAACCGCCTGAAATCATCCTTAGACATTTCTCTTGCATTTTTGATTCACTGTCTGCTGGCAGAGTCTAGGGTGTATGGGGGCTGGACTGGGGGTGGAAGTGAACAGGCCCTTCTTTTACACAGGGCCTATTCTTGCTGGCTGTTTTTCTACTCACTCTCTTGTGAATAAAATAATTCCACCCCTTGAGTCATACAGACTTCTTCCCACCTCCATGGACCAAGTGTCAGCAGATCCAGGCCTGGGGATCCTATCTAAGACTCTCAGCAGTTCTCATAGTGTTATTCCAAATGGGAAAAAAAAAAAAAAAAAGAGGATAATTTCCCTTTATTGGACCCTGCACAACATATTTCTCCCTTTGCAATTAGTTTCATGTCCCCTTTCTAGTGTGCCTACGGGCTGAGAACCCAGCCCTCCAGACTATGGTAAAGTGATCAGACCTAGATGTCTCTCCTTCTCCAGCAATGACTTCCCCCCACCCCAGATGTTCACAGTGAGCCTTCGGCCATCTGCAGACTGACTTCTTTCTCCCCCAGACCTAGAGAATATAACTGCACAGGAGGTCAGGGATTCTCACCACAGTTGCAAGATAGATGTAAACAGTATTCTGTTACCTAAGGCCTGAAGTCTTCTGTGACCTGGAGGCCAGACTTCAGACAGCTACCTGAATAGCCCTGACCAAAGGCCCTTCTGCTTTCTGGTACTTTAGTGCCCGAGTCCCCAGGGTACGGAGTTCCTCTATTCCCCACTCCTCACCACATCCTTCCTTCTACTCTGGCACCCTGAAGACACCTGCATCAAAATCACCTGGGGGGGTGAACAGGTCTCTGAAGATGGGGCCTAGGGTGCTGCATTTTGATGAGTTCCCCAGGTGATTCCTATACACTAAAGTCTGAGGACTAGTGCCCAAAGGGAGTTCAGCATTTTTTTAAGAAAGCTGGGATCTGATTAATGAATATGAGAAATGACTTATTTTTTTACATTTCTAAGTTCCAACAGAGTAGAAAACTACTTTTCCTGAAAAGTCAAATCAAGTCGAAAGGATAAGCCTCTGGAATGCTAATAAAGGTTTGTGGAACTAGCATAGTACAAATGTTCCCTTTCTGCATAAGAAATCTCACTGTTCAGTTTCCCATTGGGCAAAATAAAATAGGTTGAGGCTTTCTAGATTAATGTGTGAACAGTACATTGTTATGTGCCAATAAGAAAACATAATTAGTGAATCAATAGCTTTGTTGTCTCCCTGATGGAAAGAAAAATTATAAAACCAGTAGCTTGGTCTTTATAAGCAGAGGCAAAATATGCAAACATTCCCACAAGATGAATCTTTGACTCTCAAAAAACATCAATTAGGGCTTTATTACTATTAGGTTTCTTGGTTAAAAACTTACACAATCAGGGACAAAAAAGACCATCACTTAATAATTGAGATTGGCTCCCTCAAGCTAATAATTCACAAAATAATTTTGCAATCCTTCACTTTATTTTGGCTCTGCTGTCTAACTCAGACCCCAATATTTCTCAAATATTCTGAAAGATGTCTGACGACAAACATGGGTTTATCTAAGACAATAGTTCCTTGTTTCTTTCTTTCTTTTTTTTTTTTTTTTTTAGATTTTATTTATTTATTTTGGGGTGAGGAGGGAAGAGCGAGAGGGAGAGAGAGTCTTAAGCAGACTCTGCACTGAGCATGGAGCCCAACGTGGGGCTTGATCTCACAATCCTGGGATCACCACCTGAGCTGAAACCAGGAGCTAGATGCTCAACTGAATGCATCACCCAGGTGCCCCCAAGACAATTGTTTTTACTCCTTTCTACAACTACCCATCTTTCAAGGAGCAAGTGGGTGGAATCCACTGGGTTTATATCCTGGATTTGCAATCTTCTAGTGTGGAACAAGTTACTTCCCTTTTCCTGTCTCCTTACCTATCCATGCGATAATAAAGGTACATATTATCATAGGAATGAAATGAACTAATGTATGTAAAGTATTTTGAGTAGCATAAAATAAGTACTCAATAGATAATAATGATAACAAGCCATCATTATTTTTCACTATTCTATTGCTAATTATCACCTCCATTGGAGGAAAAGACTTGAACAAAGAGAAAAGAAATTCAAAACTATTCCCTTGTACCACTCAAAGCCAGTGTGATGACAGAGAGATTGACTTTGAACCAAGCCTAATGGAAGAGATAAGGACAAATGCATCTGGGGGGCAATGATTAGGAGAGAGAATTTGATACAATAGTTTAAATATAAACGGTAAGATAGTAACTGTCTATGAGAACTATGGTTAGATATAAAATACTTAAGAGAGCAAGTCTTTTTTTTTTCTTTTAAGATTTTATTTCTAAGTAATTTCTATACCCAACACAGGGCTTGAATTCATGATCCCAAGATCAAGAGTCACATGCTCCACTGAATGAGCCAGCCAGGCACCCTAAGAACAAGTCTTATTTGGCTTTTCAGATATGCAATAAATATAGTAAAATACATTAAGGGCCTATGTAGCAACGCAAAAATTAATTGCTCTATGAGTGCAGAGATAAAGTGATTACAAAAGGCTTGCGAGGCCCTCAGCAGTGAGAGAAACTTCCAGGTGCCAAGAAATGGGCAAGAGGTTTACAGATAGGGTCTTTCTCTAGGTAATTCACAGAGTGAGTAGGTTTTTAAAGTATAAACTCAGGGCTCTTCCCTTGCCCAGAGCATACAGTCAGGCAAAATTGTCTGCATGTGTATCTTCCCTCAGAATTTGAGAGGTTTTTTTTCACATTATCTATCTAAAAATACATATATTTTTTAAGATTTTATTATTTTATTTATGAAAGACACAGAGAAAGAGAGAAACAGAGACACAGGTAGAGGGAGAAGCAGGCTCCATGCAGGGAGCTTGATGTGGGTCCCCTCCTGGGGCCCCAAGATCACGCCCTGAGACAAAGGCAGACACTCAACTACTGAGCCACCCAGGCGTCCCTGGAAATATTTTATTATATGCAAACCCAGAAACACATTCTTATTTTAAATAAGTGGTAGAGTAATTAACATATGGTTTTCACCTTGTTTGACTTCTTTCTTAGATGAGATTGCTTTTAAAATGCAATGTTAAGTACCTGCCTTCAGTCCAGGGCGTGATCCTGGAGTCCCGGGATTGAGTCCCACATCGGGCTCCCCACAGGGAGCCTGCTTCTCCCTCTGTCTCTCCCTCTCTCTGTGTCTCTCTCATGAATAGATAAGTAAAAAAAAAAAAAAAAAAAGAATCACACAGTTACAGAAACCTCTTTCCTTACATACAGGTTTAAGTTTCTATTCAAAGTCCTTCTACCCCCACTTCCCACCTCCACACCGCCCAAACAAGCCCCAAGTGACATCTCCCCATCTATTGTAGAAATAGAGTTGGCATGCTATTGTGTCATTTGAGGGGACCTCTTGATTTTTTTCTATAGTAAATTAAAAATTTTTAAACAAAAAGATTTCTGTGTCTTCTT